CGTCAAAGGGTTAATTAGAAACTTAAGAGAATGCATTTGTATTCCCATCTTGTGTTCTCTTTGACTCTTTAGCACCATTTCTGATTACTGTTCCGTCTGTAACACTCTTGCAAAAGTCTCTTCAATGTAAGATGTCATGCCATGGGCTTCGAATTAAAAGATTAAATGAATTAGAGCGATTCGATTTATGTTAATGCTAAAAGGCAAGTGAAAAATTAGTTAGCCTTCCTATTTACTCTTGCACTTAGATGAGTGCGATTTAAATCAGGAAACAAATTATAGCACTGAGTAAAATATTGAAAAATTTAGAAATGAGAAACTTAAAGTAATTTACGTTAAGGGATGAAGTATATAAATAGAAATAATTAAGATGCAGTGAAATGATTCTGTTATCTTTGCAATATCAGAAGAAGTATTACAGCATTTAACAAAAAATTCTTTTTGGAAGTGAAAAATAGTTTGATTTACACCGAGATTTAAGATATACGATTTAGAAATGAATAAGCGGTGAGAGATGTGGAGGCATTTTGCACTTAATGAAAAAAAAGCTTAACATTTATACGATTTTTCGTTTTTAATTGGATTTACAAAATATCATGCATCAGAAAGGATAAATTTAATAAGGTTTTTGTGTTGCTCATAATTCAACTTTCATTCTCTCTCTCTCTCTATATATATATCAGGCTCCAGGCCTGCTGGTAAATGATGGAAGACGTCATCTTTAAATGTTAGTACTTTATCACAGTTCATGCAACACCATTACAACATGGTAGCTCTTGGGTGCCTAATCGGACAGAACAAAAGACATGACCGGGGCAAGGAGTCACCAGCCTCCATTTTCGATTATGTGATTATCTATGTGAATGCTCGCTCTATCTTTAAATAGTCCTATTTACCTTAAACCCTCTACGCGGTAGTAAATAGTTCACTGTATTTTTATTTATTATTAATTAATTTATATATATATATATATATATATATATATATATATATATATATATATATAAGTTAAACTTTCCAGATCTAAAAAGTTCTAAAATTATAACTGGCACTAAAATACTGAACTTGTTTATTCTGATTTACAAATTAAATAAGTTCAGTATTTTATTGCGTGTTATAATTTTAGAACTTTTCTTATATCAGCATAATTTTTGCCTACCTACAATACTTTTCAGGTAAATTAGCTTTCAAATAAACCCAATGATACTAAAAGGGAGAGAAAATTATCATTATGTTCTAGAACTAAATCATTTACTATTGGTCGTTTATTTATAACATTATGGGTTACATTAAAAATAATTTGGAGAGTAACCATTATTCATAAAATGAAACTTGTTTGCATCTTTCGAAAATAGTCAAAAGTAGTATTTATCCGTAATGCTCGAAATAATCTTATGATTTAACTGTAGGAGACATGTGATACACTTTAATATACTGTCTAATTAAAACAAGAATTTATATTTTGCTTATACTTACAATGCGATGCTAATAATTAAACCATTGCTATAAAGTAATGTCCCTAGTTTTATTTTAGTTGAAAGTAAGTGCCCATTCTTAATATGTTTCTACATCTTTGAGAATATCTTCAAATGTGGCATCTTTTTTAGATGCATGACAAAATTTAGTATTTTTACGGTTTGTAGTATTTAGAGAAAAGTCCAATTGTGTGTGAGTGTGTATATTTCTGTATAAAGCTAGTTTAATACTTAATAAAAAAAAGTTTCCCATTACTACCTCAAAATTAACTCTTCAACACCTAATAAAGTAAATATACTTTCCTTAATAAGGTGAAAAGTAAATAACACATACATGAAGCAGCACATTGCGTAAATTAATCTTCTTAAAATGTCTCTTGAAATCCCTCCTTACCCATCAATTGTATATAACTGGGATTCGGAAAGTTTCTTTGCGGGTTACTATTACTCAAGAGCAGTTCACACATTTCCGATTTTCTGTCGCTTTTTTTTATACCCTGAGAGTGATTATTTGGAAGAAGCGAGCATCTGTCCGAATGTCTGCACTGTAATCTCAGGAACTAAGTGTCGATGGGGGAGAGGGTAGCATCGGGAAGCAACAAATTACGAGATTAACTGGCAAGGAAATAGCTTTCTACAAATCCATTTTCCGGCCGCAACAGACGCTTTAAGCAGGCTCTTGGGAAAAGTGCCTGAGGCAGAAAACAATGCCAAATCTCAGATACGTGCAATGGTTAGAAGCGGTTTAGCAAAACCAATAGCCATGAGTAGATTGTGGGAGTCAAAAACGCATTTTGTTAATACCTCTCTGGAGTGTTGGAGCATCTGGGAATGGTTTTGGTAGTCAACTTGGCCACCAATTCTCAAATGGATGGTGTTTATTGGATATGGAGGGAACATAAATGTTCTAGGTGTAGATCGAAGTTGATTAGGGTAGAAAAATAAATAGAACTTTCATTGCTGCGACTGCAATTTGATAAGAGAAGTTTTAGGTTTTCATTACGATCTACTTTTATGACAGGAAACTTTGCTGCTTCGATGATAGGATTGGGATTTTTCTTTTAATCAACGCTTATTTTTGCATGCTTCTAGATATTGAGTATAGGCGCGGAAGCTTAATGACATATCATGACGAAAAATAAGGTCATGATAAAAAGATGCGTCTGAAATCTAGATAAGAGATGTTGAGTGAGGAATGGGGAATAAAAATTTGTTTATTGGAAATATATATCTAGAATTACTAAACTATGAAATTTAAAAGACCGAAAGGGGAGTGAAATGTTTTATAGAAATAGAGGTGAATAATTTGGGTCTAATGGTTTTAAACAATCTTGCTTCACAGTGAAAGAAAATGCTTATTTTTGCAGATATAAGTTTCAAAATAACTTTCGTAAACATAGTTCTGCAACATGAACTTCAAAGGAAATTTTAATGTAAGTATAAAGAAAGCTATCATGATGTTATAAAAATAAGTTTGGAGTGATTCAAAAAATAAAAGCAAATTAAAATAATTTTACTACACAGTAAGAGTTAATAAATAATACAAAAATATTTCAGATATAATTGTGCATGTGTGCATTTCTAAAAATCGTATTTTAACATGGTTATAGTATGGCACGCATGGAGTTCAGTTGAAATATTTTAGAATCTTAATTTTACAACAAGAAAGGAAGAAAAGCTCCTTTATCAAATAATCAAATATTTATCGTTTATGAATATACTTTAATTACTTAGGTCTTTCAAGTGTTCTTTATACATAGCTATAAGATCTGTGAGATTTACAATTTTAAAAAAATGATATTTGATAGTTTTATAATTTCATCAGTTTTATTTGATTGAAAGTTGTTTTTACTTTAAAATAGTTAAAAACTATATTGAAAAAATTATACCTTATAATTAAGTTCCTAGGCTTTATTATTGTTATTATTTTTGTCTACAGGAAATTTTATTTATCTCCAGAACTCGTTATATGTCTGCTTAAATTATCATTAAAACTAGACAATCATGTCTTCTAATGTAAAGATAAGCTCCAAAAGCAATTCGGTTTATATTCCATGACTCATTACTGTAATGTAAAATGTCTATCAAACAGACACACTCAATGAAGACTCTTATCTAAAAAGAATTTTTAGCCCCAAATCACTCATTAATAAACCTAAAAAATATTCCATTTTATTTTTTTTTAAAAAAAGCTTTTAATCTCATTATTAAAGAATTTTCAGAATTCAATTTGAAAAAGATAGCCAAGCATTTTTGAATTCTTACCACTTCTGAAAGGTTAATAAATGCAAAAAAATTGAAAAATTGTTATTGTAATACTGCACCTTATTCAATTTCGCAACTTGTGTTCCTGTCTCCCAACTACCTTTGAGGATGACAAGTAAATGAAATCTTTCTTTCCTTATAAATCTAATATATTTTGACTCAATTTTGAGTATAGAATAACAGAAGGATATTCAATTTTATTCACGATGTCTCATAACGGAAAGGAAGTAAGCACAGACGCATAAAAATGTATTCACTAGAAGTTGTTCTTGGTTTGAACACGACACATTTAAAAGAAACATTTCGGCACAACTTATCATACTATCTAGAATGCAGAAACGCTTTTTATTTATTCCAAGCTTTGGAGAAGGTAAGGAAAGGTGAGAAAGAAATGTCTTTTCGCAGATAAAAGAAGAAAAAAGGGTAAAAGATTTCTTTTTTAATATCTACCCTTTTTATGTGAGAGGCGTTGTCAGTGTTGCGCAGCTGCCGACCTAGGTATCCCTGATCACTATTCAAGAGGAAAGAGGAAGGGCAAAATATATGCTTAGTAATAAAAGCCGCCACATGGACCTGAAGCTGATGTAAGAAACAGATTTTCTACGATCAAAGCCATCCACTATTATTTCATATTACGAACAATGGTATTATTACCAGTGTCATAAGAATGAAAAGTGTATGCACTGTGCTGTGATTTGTTATTAAAGAAACCATACATAAAAATTATTCTTTTTTCAGCAATTTTAGATGATTCAATCTTGCCCAAATTTTACGGCTGATTCATTGTACTTTAACACCAGCTTATTACTGTTAGTGTTTGCACATTGCGTTAAAAGACGAGATATTATTCAGTGATGTCTAAAAAATATTTTGAACGCTCCTGAAGTTTTTTTTACTAAACATGAAATCAAGACTACACTGTTTATCTGTATAATTAGTTTCGGGTCAGATGCTCTTGCAATAAAAAACAAGTAATATAAAAAATTAAGTCAATTCCTACTTAGGTCAATAAAGACATACTTTATTTCAGTAACTTTTTATTATATAGTCACAATTAATATAAATATGTGTATACATATGACAGAATCACAAAATTAAGTGACAAAATAGAAATCGGTTTTACTCGTAAGTTTCCATTTTCGTTTCTACGTTTGGTAGTGGACTATTTTTGTTTGTTTTTTCCTATTTATTCATTAATTAATTTAATTATTCTAATAAAATAGTATAGTTAAAAAAGAAATCACATTCTCATAAACTAAGAACCCCAGGTGGAATTCGAACCCACTACCTTTGGGTTAGAAGTCCAACACGCTATATATTGCGCTACAGGGACACAACGAACAATTTTCCTTTCTATGTATGCTGTTGAACTATTATTTTTGTTTGTTATTATATTTATTCATTTTTGAATTTAATTAATGAATTAAAATATTTGAAAAAAATGTATTAACATCGAGTGTCATCCACTACAAGTTAAAAAAAAATTCGAACTTGAATGGATGAATAGAAATTATTTTGTTAGCGACTGAAAATTTGAACAAGATATATATATATATATATATATATATATATAATATATATATATATAGAGAGAGAGAGAGAGAGAGAGAACTCTGATAGCAGATATTGAATAATGAGGTTTATTTTTAGAGGCTACTCAGGTCTAAAAGCGGTCTAAATCTCTTTATTTTGAGAGGCTACCTCAAACTGTATTTTAATATTTATTTTTTAAAATATGAACTACTCGTACAGCCATCAATTTTTGTGGGTGCTTTAGAGATTTTGTGGGGATCTAAGTATTGCTTTAATTACAGTCATTTTTAAAAGCTACTATTTAGGAAAACGATGTATGGAATAACATGTGAAAAGGTTTAAAGCGATAAAAAGCGACTTGTATTTTAACGTGTAATTTTTTAAAATAACATTTTGACAAAATATCTCATTAAAATACTTCTTTATATAGTATTAATGTGTGTTTGATTTTTCACACCTATAAAATATGTAATTTTTCAAAAATGTTCCTTTTGTAATGAAATTCACATTTATAAAAAATCCCGACTATCATTCCCAAATGAACACCAGAAAAGTAACTTTTGATATTTAAAATAATTTTTATTCATCTAGAGCAGTGTTTCTCAAACTGTGGGGTGTGACCTCCTTAGGGGTGACAACTCTACGAGGGGAGTATGAGCCTATATTGAAAAGTCAAAAAGAAAAGACTATTTAAAAATTATGGATTTACTGAAAATAAACAAAATACATTCTGACATAATAAAAAATAAAATACGCTTTTACACTTATAAATGTATTAGTGCTGCACAATTTATTTTATAATTAATTTAACAATACTAAGCTAAAAACAAGTTTAATAATTACCAGTGATGACATTGGCTTTAAGTATATAAAATTATACGCAGAAATTGACACTTATTTTGATAATTTGAACGGTTAGTAATTAATCCATTAACTGTCGAATGAAAGTTGCGCAATTCACTTCACAATGCCAACAGCTTTCCAGGTAGGCACGCGTATGTGATACATTGAGGGGTGAGGGAAGGAATAAAGAAGGAAACAATCTGAAACAAGTAAATCCTTCGCAAATATTGTCAAGGTCCTTTTATTGTATTCCAAAGCTTTCTGAAATATTTTATTGTTAGTAGTGCGCAAAAAAGATCGTTCTTCAGAAAGAAGTATATATACGTCCGGGAAAATAAACACGTTTGCTTAGCGAGACGTTTATATACGCGGTGGCACTTAAGAGAAAAAAGTCGTATAGTAGTTTTAGCGTCAAAGTATGTTATTATTGAATTCAATACATTGTTATTAAATTAGGAGGGAGCGATGAAAATTATGATTGAATATTGGGTCGTAAATATGGAAACTTTGAGAATCACTGATCTAGAGCTAAAATTTAAGCTATATTAGAAGTAAAAAGATTTGTAGAAGTTTTTCGTTATTTTTTAATACAGAAAATAAGCGATATGATGATTGACTTTTATAACATAATTAACGATTTTCATAGATTAAAACTATTTAAACATTATCTGAATTAAAATAAAAATCTCTGAAGACCATATAAATTAATTTACTTTTTCGATATTAATTTTTTTCGTTATTTAACAGAGTATGTCAAATTATAATATAAAAGAAACGCCTAAAACATATAATTCCACTTCATTAGCTACAAATAATACATAAAACATATAAATGTATTTTAACTAATAATATTTTCTTACATTCAAAATTATTCTTGCATAAATGAAGCCTTATATTTTCCACGCATTATTCGAAGATAAGAGATAAGCAAAATTCTGAGAATGATATAGTAACTTGTATCAATTTTAACTGAATTAGTAATGTTGCAATCTTAATTTTAAAGTATTTCAAAAAAAAGTTTCCCCATTATATTTACTCAACATATTTTTGCAGCAAAAATTATATTTAATAATACCATGAGGATTCATTATATTTATATTTGCTCTTTTGCTTTTTAATTCTTTAGAAAATCTAGCTTTCAGCTTGCAAAACACCTGAAATATATTTTATTTTTTCTAATATACTTGCACGTTTAAATAAAATAATATAAAAGTGTGACAATTTTGCATATAGAATATGAAAAATGCAGCAATTAAAATAATAATAAAAAATTACATTATTTGTTAGCCTTAAGAAATATTTTTACACAGACTCATTTATCTACTTTCAAAAGAGACTATAGTTTAGTACAAAGAGTGGGAATCCATGGAAGTTACCCTTTAACTCTCTTTTGTTGTTACTTAAATAAAAAACATTCTCTTTATGTGGAAACTAAATAAAAAAAATCTTTGATAAATTTTTAATTAAATTGATATTTTTTTATTTGAGTAATAAAGTTATATAGTAAGAAAACATTCTTAGGAAAAAAGTAATTGTTCAGCAAACATTGATCTTTTTCTATTATTTAAACAAGTTCTCTGAGTTTTACGGAAAACGTGTGGTTTGGTGTTATCATGAAGAAAAAGATCACTTGTGAAAAAAAACCCCTGGTTATTTGTTTTTGATTGTTTGTTAAGTTTTATGGAAATATACTGTTGCATTGAGTTGAATTAATATCGACATTAAATCAATCAAAAGAGGTCCATGGTTTTAATTATTGCTGTCTGTTCTATTCCGGACACTTCCCTCTTTAGCAAGAGTTAGCATTCGCTTTGAAAGCTTTAAGAGAGCAGCTTTTCGGCTGTAAGTGAATTGTGTGACACACACTTCAGTACTCTTTATAAATGCACATCTATGTACACTGAGTGACCAAAACATTTGAAAGTAAACCAATCTGATAGCATTGTAGTTTGACCTACAACTCAGTAAAAAGAACTCTGAGCTTCGAATGACGTAGTTATTAGGGAAGTTAGTCAAAATGGGCAAGGCGAAATATTTAAAAGACTTTGAACGAAGTATGATTGTCGGTGCAAGAACTAGCAATAACATCTCATAAACAACGCCTCATCTAGGATTTTTCCAAATAACAGTACCACCTCGGAAGATTGCCACTTGAGAAAAATTTCAAGCGATAAGATTTAGTCTGGTTGAAAAAGGATGGTGGACAGGAGAAATGAAAGAGGAGTAGCATGCACAATCTGGAACAACAAAAATGTAACAACACATCAAATTTCAGTTGAACTCAATGCAAGTGAATCACAAAACATTCCCAAAAGCACAAGACTGACTTTGAAAAAGATGGGCTTTCGCAGCAGGTAATGATTGAGAGTGCCTTTGGTAGAACAGAAAAATAAGAAAATGCGCTTGTTTTGGATCCAAGAATAGCAAAAGTGGTCACCTGATATCTTTAAAAATTAGCTTGGTCCGATAAATCTCGTTTCCTGCTCTATCATTTGGATATCTGAATCAGAATTGGACACAAACAGCGTAAATTCTTTGATACCTCCTGCCAAATGACAACTTTTGAAGTTGGTGGTAAGGGAATTATGGTGTAGGACAATGCTTTCCTAGAGAGTTGTATCTGGAGATAGAATTCTCTGAGCCTCAATTAGCATTCTCAATTAGCAATTAGAATTCTCAACACTCTACCAGCTTACATGGACATCGTTGATTGCCACGTTCACTCTCTTTTGGCTATAATGTTTCCCTGTGGATCTGATCACTTTCAGCAGACAATTCATCTTACCACTGAGCTCAATCGTTCTCAAACTGGTTTGTGAACGATTCAAACAAACACCATTTAGAATTTAATCTGATTTCATGGCCAACTCAATCCCCTGGCCTCAATCCTATTGAGAGTTTGTGGGACAGAGTCGACAGATCACTTAAAAAACTGGGAACGCCATTATTCAATAGGGCTAAAATAAGAGCTTTCATTCTGTCAACATGGGTCAATATTTCTGAGCAATGATATCACCAACTTGTTGAGTCCATAGCAAGAAGAATATTAACTGTTATTAGAACTGAAGGTGAATTAAATTGCTATTAAGGAGTTTTTTTAATCTTTTGGCCCCTCAGTGAATACATAGAGTATATATAATCTATATTTCCTTATAATAAATTTTAATTATCTGAAGCTAAAACTAGTTTTTTTCACGATTTTCGCAAAAAATAACCTTTTTACGGTGTAAGTATTCGATATAAATTATCCGGTAGTTGAAGTTTATATGAACAAAAATGTTTCTCACATTATTAACAATAAAAAATGAACACAAATACATAAAATTGACTTTTAAAAACATAGCTGGTTTTTTTCCGTAGACCTTTCTCTCCATACGTTTTGACGAAAGAAATATCGTGTAATTTGTTCCTCCCCCAAAATAAATAAATTGACAATAAATTTGGCCGTGCTAATTTACGCTAGTTCTCAACCATGTTCATTCTCGCTAGCTTAAGATGACTACTCAACGCTAGATGGCGCTATAAAAGACTACTCAAGTGTAAAGGCAAGGAGGGGAAATATCAGGGCGGAAGATTGATTGGGGGATCCCGAATATGGAAAGAAATTCGGAAAGATGAGAAGAATAAAGGAGAGAACATGAGACGATGAATGATGAACTGCCCCAACTGGATTAACACCAAAAGAAAAAAAAAGTTCCGTTGCTCGGATGCGTGTGAAAGATTTATTGAACACTGAATTGTCCTTTACGAAATTAAGGCGTACGAATGAAAAAAGTTTCTGATAAGGAAATTGCGGAAATAATTACGGAAATCGAAAGTAGAAATTTAATGTAAGTAGAAATGCAATCAGTATGCTCACAGAATCAGTTCATTTATCAGCTAATGTTCGGACAGTTGTCTGTAAATTGGATGTTTTAAAATCAATGGGCGCTTTTAAAGGGGTCTCCTATTCTTTTA